GCTTTGCTGAGCGGTTTCACATTTTCGGACGGGAGCGCGCGGGGAAGATACAGGTAAGTTTAAAACGCGGTGTCTTTTTAATTAAAAAACCTTTTGCGTAGATCTACTGCTTGCTAGCCTTATATATATATATATATATGCAAAAAAGCCGGAGGGTTTAGAAACCCTTTAAGACAGGGATGGCCAAAACTCCGGCCCTCCAGCTGCGGGTGAAACTACAAATCCCATGAAGCATCTCTCTCCGGGAGTCATGTCCGTGGCTGTGAGAATCTTGCAAAGCCTCATGGGATTCGTAGTTCCACCACAGCTGGCCATCCCTGCTTTAAGACAATGCTTTTGTTTTTTTTTATTCCTATTTTTTACCATTATTTTTTTTTTATTATTATGGTCATTTGTGTTGCTTGTTCTACGGACATAAAAAAATTAGCAAAATTAAAAAAAAAAAAAAAACATGCAAATAACTTGCCTTGAACCATTTTAGTGCCATTTTAAATAAGACAAAATTGTATACTTTGTATTTACAGTAACAATACTTTTATTAAAATGAACACCGGTGTAAAAAGAATAAAACATATTTTTTGTCAACAGATTTGATGGAAAATAAAATATTTTTGGCAATATTGCTAATAGAATGACTTGTTTGTCTCCAAAAAAAAAAATGTATTCGCTGCGATGCATGTGCAGCCGATCCCAACTCACTGGTACCCTGGCCCAATCAGGGAGAGGCAGGGAGGGTGATTGGAGGGCGGAGCATTTTGCGATGCTCTCCTCTGCCCCTCCCAAACTGTTCATTTTCATATTACTAAACCTATCTCCCGATTTTCATAGATTAGCCCAGAATGAACTATAGATGATTGTGCGTTACGACATTTGCTTCATGTGGACTCTAAATTTGTTATATTATATTTAATTAGTAAAATGTATATTATGGGTGGCACAGAGGGGGAATCGTGTGTTTCTAGCAGGGGCTGACTGGCAACTTTTAGCCCAGGGGGCAAGTACAGCCCAGAGGCCCACGGTGCAGCGACTTGGCCCCCCTCCCGCTCTGCCTCTCCCTCCGCCCCTCCCTAACACTTTTACCACCCCTGTAATCGTCGT